GCATTTCAAAAATATAATGCAACTGTCAAAAAAATCAAATATGAAATTCAAAAAAATTATAATTATATAATAATAATAATATATATATATAAATAAAGCAAAATAAATGAATATAAATTTAATTAATTTATAGATTCTATATAAAATAAGCAAACAAAATTGAATTTTATTAAATATTAAAGTTTTACTTATTACAAATAGTGTATTATAATAAAGTACAATAAAGTTCAAAAAAATTTTATTTCAAAATTGTATAAAAAAATAGTAATTAGTTTAATTGTATTTTTTATGTTAGGAAAATAAAATAAAAATAAAAACATAGATATTAATTTATTCTTTACGTATAAATAAAATTATATTATAGAAAATTATTAAAATATGGAAAGTCATTTCATCAATGCAGTTATAGATGTAACGTTCAAAGAATAATCCTATGATAGTTGATCAAAACAAAGATTTTATATGGGAAAAAATATATTCGTATAATAAAAATTAAGACCAAAATTGCAAAAATACTTATTTAAAAAAAAGAACATATTCAATGATAAATTATAAAATATATAACTATAAATATATATATACTATTTTTAATAATATAATTATTATATTAGAAAGTTCTGACTACCGTAGTATCTATTCAAAAAGGATAAAACAGAGGATCAGGAGAGAGCCTGCATATTTGTGCGAACTTCGTAACATTCGGATGTCCTAATGAACGTCGCGTCGTAGTATCATATTTCAAATTATTTCTTGAACAAGGTAAGTTTAAATTAGACAATTTTACCATAGAAGAATTATATTTTAGGGATTATTATCAAATATTAATTTTCGAAAAGTGTAAATTTCGAGATTTTTTTGAATCGACTAATGAAGATGCGTTTAATACTTAAGCCAATATAATATCTTTTTATATTTAATTTAACTGAACAAAACTTTATGTATGTATTTCAAATTATTTATAAAATGAAGATAAAATAGATTTTAATGCAAACTAAATATTTTATTTAATAAGTTTGAATTGATGATTGTGAAATTTATATACATATATAATCTATATTATTTTTTAGACAATATAAAATATAGATAAGTTTTTCGATAGATAACATAATTGAAAGCATATTTAATAATACATAAGTTAATAAGATTTTCTTTCTCTTAAACTTAATTTTATTTAAAAGAATTTGTATTCTATAATAGATATTATCTATTTATTTTTTCAATTTTTGTACATAATGAGACATGTAATGTAAAATATTTTATTTGATAATTCAGATACATTTGAATCAATAATTGTGAAATTCTTGTAATAATATATATTTTTTTTAAATATATAAATATATAATATAAACACTAATTTAAAATAGAATAATATGTTTGCTAAAGGTACAAATCAATTTTTTCTCATTCTTTTGATATGGTTGAAAAGTATCTGCATGAAGACGATATTCAAAAAAAATCGAAACAACATTGAAAAATGTGATTTTTCTTTAATATTGATTTTAATGTTTTTTAAATATTTCGATTATATAAATATTTATATAATTGAAAATTATAATTTATAGAACAATGTAATTTTTTTTTGTTCCAATTGATTTATTTTATAAATTTTTATTTTAATATCTTATATATATTTTTTTAAATATATAAAATATATAATATTTTATATATTTTTTGTTTTCGAAAGATAGAAAACAGTATATTTTAATGAAGTAGATATTTGACGTGACAATCAAATACTTAAATTAATAATTATTAAATTCGTGGTTTTTTTAATATACACAAAATTTTTTTACGTTAGAAAAAAATATAAATTTAAGTTTTTTCGAATTTATTAATGAATCGATAAATGTGGTATATTTTATGTCTCATATTATAATATCATTTTTGTTTTCTTGAATTTTATTTTATTTTAAAAAATTTATTCTATTCTAATTATTTATACATATTTTTTCATGTTATATTTGAAATTTGGAAGATAAAATAAATTTATAATACTCAGGTGCATCTGAATCTATAGTTGTTTGAATCTTATATCTATTTTCTTAAAACTTAATTAAAATTTAGTATCTTAGTGAAAATTAATTATTTCTTAAAATTAAATAACATTTTTAAAATTTGATTGTGTTTTTTGATATTTTTGTTTCGTATTTTTTTTAAGGTATTAAAAAATATATTTAATATTTTTTTTAAAATAAAAATATTAAAAATTATATTTATTTTTTTCTTCGCTATTCCGATTAATAATTTTTTTTTAATTTTTTTTTATATATATTATCTAATAAACTAATTCTAAAATCTTAAAATTTAAGTTGTTAATTTAATTAAAGAATTTATTTTAAAGAATGGATTTTTATTGTGAGTAATAAATATTAAATAAACATATATAATTTGAATAATATTTTTATTAAAATAATATTTTTTTATTTATAGAAAGATGCAGATTATTTTTTTCACACCGTCAGTTAATTCTGGGGAAAAGAGTAATTTGATCAAGAAAATGAGAAGACATCGAAAGATAAGTGATTTTTTTCTTTAAATATTAAATTAAATTTTTTACTTTAAATTTTTTATTTTAAATTTACATAAACTCAGATTTTTGTATCGAAAATAATATTCCACATTTATAATAGAAAATAGCATGACTTTTTTCATTATCTTTATGTTTTTTAAAATTTGTATAATAGATACGTATCATATAATTGTTAGCTTTATGAAAACTATTTTTTAATGCGTACAAATCATATACAAAATAGATACGAATTATTAGAAAATATAATTAATCAATTTATTATATATTTGAAAATTACTTAATTGATTTTAATATAATTATTACGTTTTCAAAAAATATCTTTTCCAAGAAAAATCGTGTTTTTTTTTTAATACGTATATATTATATATACTTATACAAATTTCACATGTATATATATTTTATATATATAATATATGTATAAATATATTAATATTTATATATAAATAATTTATATATAATAAATTATATATTATATGTATATATATAAAATATGTAATATATTATATAATNATTTATATTATATAGGTTTCTTTTATATTTAATTGAAAATGCAATTCAAAAATATACTTCATCATTATATTAAATATCATATCGTTCAATTATTTATTCATAAACAATTCCCAACGTACCGGACAGAGCAGAACGCGTAACTGTTCTACGACCTCGGTTGAAAAGCAGTTGATTACTCGGAAAACTATATTCTTGACTGTTTTTGTCCTGTGTTACGTATTTGAATATTTTTCTCTACACAACATTGCCGTAAATTGGTGTAAAGACGAATAGCTCATTTATGGCACGTGATCATCATATATACTGAAATGCGATCGGAGATTTATTTTCGACAGTTTTAGGTAATCAATTAGTAGCTATGATATGTAGCTAACTGTCTCTATTCTGCATTTTAATCGAAAAGGTTTTATTATAGTTTATTATAGTTTTATTATATTTTTTATAATTATTATATAAGGATTATTTTATTATTAAATATTTATTTTTATAAAATTCTATTCTGTTGATATATAAAATTAATTTATGTTGATTATTTTTACTTATATATTTGTTCTTTTTCATTCTAAGAATGATTTAAATTTTTTTATCATGTTATAAATGTGTGTTTATGTGAAATTAATTGATACAACTTGTGCTGCATTATTGCGCACTATATTCCTATTATATTTAATCATAACAAATAAGTTTAAATTAATATGAAATAATTTTACTATATCTTTATTGTATAATAGATATTCCTATATACATACATATTATATAATAAATATAATCATATTCTACTATTATGTATCATATAATTAAAGTGATATTCTATATATTATACAATACAATTAATATATATATAGATATTGTAATAGTATGTAGTAGTAGAGTAGTATGGGATAGAATTGGTAGTGTCTATATAGTAGATGGAGTAGATTGGTAGTAAAATGTAAAATTATAATGTAGTTTGATAATTGATTTTTATTTATTAATTTGTTTTCACTTTATTTTTATTTTCAGCTGACTATTTTTATTTATAAATTTCAAACTTATATTAAATTCGACATTTAAAACAACAAACAAATCATTTAAAAAAATTTTTTATTTATTATATTTCTAATTTATATTTCTATTTTCAGCTGATTATTTTTACTGATAGATATTATTATATGCTATACGATTTTTTTATTATTTATAATGGACATATATTAAATATTTATTTTTTGGTTCTTGTTGATATATAAAATTAATTCATGCGATATTTATGTGCTGCATTTTTGCGCACTATTCTGATTAAACTTGATAATTAGTAACAAATTTAAATTGATGCGAAATTATTTTTATAGTGTATTTTCACTATATTTTTACAATAGATATAAAGATATCATTAAGTTTTGTTATAGTTATTGAATTGAAAAGCAATTGTATTAGCTTTTATTAAATAATCAATTTCTCGTCATTAGAGAATCAACCAAGTATCGTAATGTAGCGCTCATTTTTTACCGATGTTTTTATATGAGCACTATTCGCACAATTAAAATTTTGTTTAATTTATTTGTTGAATTTAATCTATTAATCCTTTTCTGATATTAATTTCAGTGCATTTTTTTTTTATAATATTGTGGAGATACTGCATTTTATTTATCTTTGATTTTATTAACAATTTTTTTTAATAATAATTTTGTTTAAATGTATACCATAATTTTCTTAAATTTATTGCATATATTATATTCGCCATTATTAAGTTCATTACAGTTATCGTGAATTGAAGAAAACATCTTACTATGTAGTACTCAATTTTTCATCGTTGGATAATGGAATACATCATTCATGGATCGTACTATAGCGTTTACTTTCGCTGACGTTCGCTGACGTTCCTGCACGTGCATTGCCCACACATTTAAAATATAGTGCTCACTCTTACATCAGTAAGATATATACACATTGCTACTCTTTTATATTGTCAGTCAGTCTTCCTGCTTCTTCGGGAGCGGATCGAATGATGAAAAGTTTATTGCGTGACATAATCGGTCATTTATTCAAAATAACCAATTTTTATAATTTGATGTATTTTAATATTATTTTTCATTTCAAATAATAGTGATCATGAAGATAAATATAATTCAAGGAGGAATGATAGCAATGATGGCTATTCAAATTGTTTTTTCTGAACAAGATCATGTTCCAACAATTTTGGGAGAGATTGAAAATGTTGCCAATAGTGCCACCAATCTTTGTAAGTAATTATTTTAAAGTTAAATATTTTTTTTTCTTTTGCTTATTCTTTTTTCTCGCTTTCTTTTTCTATTCTTTAGAATTAATTAAATAGAATTAATTAAACAGAATAAATTAAATAGAATAAATTGAATAGAATTATTCATATCTTTTTACTAATCAATATCTTTATTAATATTTGAGCTTATAATTATTGAATATAAAATATAAAAAATGATTAAGAATATAATAAAAGAATATATAATAAATAAAATAATAATTAAATGTATAAATAATAATAAATATTTTTTATGAATTAGTTTTAAAAAATTTATGAATTTTTAATTTTGAATTGGGAACTTAAACCGAATTTTAATATTATGGTATAATAAAAGAAATAAAAATAGAATAACTAAATTTAAAGTTTTAATTGAAAAATAAATTAATTCGATCATCTTTAACATATTCACAAAGAAAAGTACTTTCTCTCAGATATACACTGACCTCGTTAAAAAAATCTACTTTTCACTTGTATCTATGTCTGTAATTATATCGAAATCATTTATAAAAGTTCGTTTCATTGACTTAATTATTGATTTAATAATTATTATTGAATTATGATTCAATGAAATGTTTTTTATGTGAGTTAATTAAAATTGATATTATTTTTTTTTCAATGTTCGTCATAATTTTATTTTCATAGATAGAAATAAGATTTTTACACTTAATATTAATATTAGATATAATATTAATTTGTTAATGTATTAAAAAAATAAAAGAATATAAAAAGTATTGAAAAATCAAAATTTGTTTAAAAAATTTTCATATATAATAAAATTTTATATAGTAAAATTTTTTATAAAATATATAATTTTATATAATTATTATATTTAAAATAAATTGTTGTAAAATTTAATATTATAATGCATTGTGAATTTCACTTTTAAAGACAATAGTTGTTATATTTTGTAATGTAATATTTTTTTTTTTTAGTTTTCAAAATTAAAAATATAAAAGCACTTTGTACTGAATTTTTGTTAGATCTATGAGAATATGACTAAGATATGATCATTTCAACGTGAAGATAACTATAACATGAATTCAATAGTGATTCATTAAATAATACACATAAGATTCATGTTTTTATATCTCAAGCATCATTATATATTATGAACTTTATATCTTACTTACATATAGTAATGCAACAGAAATTCACATTGTTTATCATCTAAAAAAATTCACACTTGCCATATCAATATTCTTGATCATGTATTATTTTAATAAATTCCTCGTATCTTTATATTTTTCAATTCTTTTTTGCATTATTCGTAATCATATTTTTGTTGTACTTACTCCTCTGATATATCGATACTTTCTGAAGGTAATAAAATATTTTTTAAACAAAAATACAGAATATGATATTTATGTGATCAATGAGCATTGATTTATATTACTTTAATGTGAATTATTCTAAAAAATATTTTAAAAAATGTTATTTCATTATTAACCGAAGTAAGAATAGAAATTGTTAATTTTATTATTTATATTTTTCAAATTCATCGATTTTAAGTTATTTATATAGCTAAAGAATTTTAAAGTAATAGAATAATCTTTTAAATTAATTCAGATAAAAAAATAATTAAAATTAATAAAAAATTATTTATCATTGTATATTTTATATCTCAAAATTATTTTTATTATCATATATTATATGTATTATTATATGTAAGACTTTTATACTACTAATAAAAAGAAGAATCACTTATGTAAAATTATATATCATATATTATATATATCATAAATTATATATCATTATACGAATATCATATTACACGAAAAGAAAATTCTATTCTAGAAATTGTCCATTTATTCATTTGTTCCAGTTACAGGAATTGTACAACGACAAAAAGAACTGATACATCGTATGACGGATACAGCTTCTAACTACAGTATGTGATATTTTCATCCAAACAACTCTTTGAATTTGTTTTCAAATTATTTCATCTGACAATTACATTTCTCTATTGCTATTTATGTCAAAATATAACATATTTTTATTGATGCTTGAGAAATCAATTTTATATTTATATTCTTCTCCAAATATGATCAGATTAATATTAAATCCATAACAATAAAAATTTAATAAATAGCATAAGTAGATTAAGATTTGAAATCCTATTCCTGCAAAATTAAAGTAGCAATTTTAATAAAAAAATTTAATGCGAATTTTATTGACCAACAGAGACGTTGATTGGATTATCGTAAATCATAGTGAAATTCTCATTGCTTTAATTAATTATAAATTTTCATGAATAATAATACTTCATAACAATAGTATGCAAATTTCCATAAATTCATATATATTTATAAATTCATCTGAATATTTTTCTTATTTTTTTTTTTATAGTGTTAATTAATTTATTTTCATATCCGATTTGATAATATATTCTCTAATATAAATACAAAGTATTCTTAATCAGTGTATTCATTAATTTTAAAAATGTTTTTATATTGTTATCAATCTTTATTTGCTAAATTTCTTTATTATATTTACTAGTATTATTATAAAAATAATTAAAAAAAAAATCAATGTTTCTCTTTTTCAGTCACAAGTGCTGTGGAAAAACCAAAGAATTTTATCATCAACGCAACTAGAATAACTACTGGCTATAGTAAGTACATAAATCTATATGTAGTCATTTTAACTGATACTAATCGATGAAAGGACAGTTGACAGTGCTGCTTCCAAGAGTATGGAATTTCCAATTAGAAGAGTTTTGGAAAAATTTCGTAACAGAATGCCTTACGGAATACCAGAATTAGGAATACCACCTTTGGATCCGTTTGAATTAGATGAAATCGATATTGTAATTGAAAATCCGGAAATAGGAAAGTAAGTTTATTGATTGATTAAATTATTATTTACATTAAGAATCTTAAAAAATCTTTAAGGATATTCCTTAAATCTTTGTCATTGTTTGAAGTGTTAAATAATTTTCTGTCATATTTCTGGAATATGAAATCAAATAAATCAAATAATCAAAAATCAAATAAATTTCTTGAAAATTTAAAGAAATTTATAAAAAAGAAATTCTCTAAACTGTGTAAGAAAATTCTATAAAAAATAGATTTTAGAATTTGATAAGAAAAATATTTTATTTATCTATAAATTTGTTCAATGAATTAAAATTGATTTTCATCAATTCGAATATCTTATGTTTTAATACAATGTTTAAAAATATAAATGTAAATATTTAAAATCAACAAAAATTTAAATTAAACATTTTTTTAAATGTTATATTTTTTTATTTTTGAAAATATTTATTTCGAAAGATAAAAAATGAACATTTTGTATTTTTTAATATAAAGAATGTTTTTGTTTTTTTATTTATCTGATGAAATTATAACATAGTTATTCAATTTTTTAGCGTGTCTATCACTATCCAGGATCTACAGTTACACAATTTGTCGACCTTCATAATCAACAAAGCAAAACTATCACTGATCGGACCAACAATTGCAGCAAATATTACCGTTCCAAGAATTTATGTCGAAGGCTTTTATAATATATCCGGCGATCTCAGTCAAAAATTTCAATTACACGGTTATGGCCCTTTTAAAGGAAATATACATGATTTTCAATTATATATAAACACTATTTTGGGTTATTCTAGAGGAGTGTATTTAAAGACATTCGATCTAGATTTTACTTTGAGATATATTGATATAAATTTAAAAAATTTAATGGATGATCAAGAATTAAACGACATCATGAACAAGGTAGTAGAATTTTATTTTTTTAAATTTAATAACAAGTATATACAGTTTTTCAGTTTTAATAGTTGAAATTATAAAAAACTTTTGGGATTCAGTATTCGACTTGATATGCATAATTTAAAGGAAAAAATGAGAAAATTATATATATTTCAAAATATCTTAATAAAAATATGGCGATAAGACATAATTACAAATTATTATTTTTATTATTCTATATAATATTTGTAAGAAAATTAGCCAAAGTGGAAGTTCGTGTTGAGAATTGTTAATTAATTTCTGAGGTTGAATATAACAAATTAGTAGAGTAAAGGATAGAAAAATTTAATTTGCATTATCCGTAGGTTGTTCAAGAATTGACGCCGAAGGTCTTAGATATTGTCAAACCGGATATACTTCCGGATATTCAAAGTTATTTAAGTGCAAAAATTAATGAAACTATTCATCATCTCACCATGAGAGATATAATTAACGTATTGATGGGCTATAATGAAATTCGAGAATTTACATATCTTCCAGTATCTTAAAATTGAAGCCCATTTTTAAAAGTTTGAAAAATAATCCTGGAAATTATTTTTTTAAAAGTTGGAAAAACTAAAACTATATTTATTATATTTCATGTTTTTAATTTGAAGAAAAAATGAGATTTAATTTTTTTGTTTCTAAATATTTGAAGATTTGGTGCATATAGTAGTAAAATTGATTGTTGCTTACAATTTAAAATTTTTTTATTTTATATAGTTATTGGAATGGTAAGTAATTTTTTGATAATTATATTGTAGAAATAAGTATAATGCTTTTAGTAATTTAATTCTGTTCTAAACGTTAGTTTTTCTTGAAAATGTATTTTGATATGTGAAAAATATACGAATTACTTATTTATTCATGAAATAAGTAGTAAATTTTTCGCCTCTTGTATTCCAGTCACTTTCATTAATATTCCTTCTATTATTTTCCATACATTTATTTTCCATACATTTTTCAATTATTATTATTTTTATAAAAAATTAAAATTTTTGTTGAACATGAAAAGTAGAAACAAAAATAGATATTTATAATATTTTATTAAGAAAAAAATTCAGAAATATTGAAAATAATACAAAATATAAAATGAATTATGATTTCGTTATTTAGATTGAATGAATTTGTTAAAAATAGTATTTTACATTCTGTTTTATTTGTCGATATATGTGATATTTATATATTTTATTGATATGGTAATTCAGAATGACATTCATAAATGAATAGAAAATTTAAAATTTAATTTAAATAATAATTTCATAATATATTAAATATTAAGTAAACTCAAAATTGTAATGTAAATTATATAAATCATCAATGTCATAAAATTGATTAATTAACTCATAAGTTTTATTATTAATTTTAGAAAATCAGAAGTTTAGAATTTTTGTTTTTATATTTTAGGATAATAATAAAATGATAAATACAAATGATAAATTTATAGAATGATATAGAAATAATACAAATCATTGCAAATGCTATAAATAACAAAATTATGTGATTAATTTTATTAATTTTAAGTTGAGGGAAATTTAAATTCTTAAAAAAAAAATTTTTTAGGCTTTTCATAAAAACAAATAATATTTATTATTAATAATATAAATTAATATTAAATTTTTTCAAAATAATGGCATTATCATTTTCGATTTAATTAAATTTTAATTAAAACTAAAGTTTAAGTTATATTATTTATCGATTTTTCATTGTATGTGATATATATAATAAAATTGACATAATATAATAAACATATAATAAAAAAATTATTTCAATAGGACAGTATGCTTAAATATGAAGATGAAAAATAAAAAAAAAATGCGCAGTTTCTTGTAACTTCTGATTATCGCATAAACAACTCGATAATTAATATTAATGATAATCAGTATATAAAATTGTAAAACAATAAGAAACTAAATTATATCAATTTATCAATGTAATTCAGTTAAATTAATGGATATTTTGTTCCAAAGAAAAAGAAAGAAGTAAAATCTACAGGTATGATTTTTGTTTTCATAAATCTTTTTATAATATCGAATAATTGATTATTTCTTGATTACTTATAATGATATATTTTTGTCTTTTTATTATAAAAAAATTTTTGTTATGTTCTGTTGTTTCATCATATAAAAATCTAATATAAAACGATTATTTTCTTTTTTTTTTTTTTTTCTAATGTTATGAAAATGCTCACTTTTAACATTATCGGTCTTTGATATCCAAGCTTTAATTATGCCTGAAAGATGACCGACAAACCATTATCATTTTTATCGATATTCTATATTGTTATCGTTTATCATTAAATACATGCTTCCATTTATATTTCGAATCTATCAAACAGTTTCAAAGATAATTTTATTTGACCCATTTTCATTCATCATAATAATCAATCTCGATTAATTTTAAATTCTTCAATTATTTATATATTTGTTTATATTCACATTGAGATTTTCTTATATATTTATATTTTTATATATTATTCTTATATATTTATATTATGAATTATTCTTATATGTTTATATTTTTATATATTATGTGCTACCAATTGATACTTTAAAATTATAATTGTAAATAGAAGTTTTTTTTTATTGAACAAACAAATTATATATTATAAATTAATCTTTTCAATTCTATTTTTATTATATATTGAATATCTTTTGAAAAGTAATTTTGTCTCCTAATTACTTTAAATTTTTTAATGAGATGAAATATTTTGCATAATTGCAAATGGAATAAAAAACTTGCTTGATAATTGTTACTTCAGATGAAAATTTTATTAAGAAAAATTATTATTTATGATTATTTATGATAAATTTATTTATAAAAAAATTTATAAAAAAAAATTATCAAATGAGTAAATTTGATAGTCAATTAAAATTCATAAAATTGAACTATTAATTTCTCAATAGTTTCTTATTAAAAATATAAGTGATTTAACATTTTGATATTAATCTTCCATCAAAATCAAATCATTGTTTTTCTCAGCAGTTTTTTAAAGTTTGTATCAGCTATTTTTTTCTTAAAATCGTAAAATTTTTTCCATACCTCGATTACTTTTAATGAAATATTATAATTATTTATTTATTTTTATATTGTAATAATTTGATTTATTTATCAAATCTTAAAAATTTTAAAATATTTTATTTTATTTATTGAATTATTTTTGTGTATTTACATGAATAAGAATTCTTCGAACATACTCTATCAATTTATTCTTTTAATATCATTATATAATTATTTCTTCTGTAATTCTTTAATTAGCAAATTCGTATTACTTTTCAATTTAAATTTCATCATTATAAATATATTTCAATTTCTTTTCCAGATTTTAAAAATCAAACGTTCAAAACTATTTGAAATTTGATAATTCAATTTGAAGAATAGTAATTCTTCGTCAAGATAATATCGTTTTATACTTTTCATTTCGTGATTAAAATCAACAGTGAACACTCAACAAAGAAGTGATTATTCCCGAATATTGTTACGATGAAAATATAGTTCACAGAGAAAGAGAGAGAGAGAGAGAGAGAGAGAGAGAGAGAGAGAAAGAGAGAGAGAGTATAACTCGGAAATCGCATGCGTAAGATCTGATGACGATATATAGAGTACCAGAAGAAGGCAGTTGCGCTTAAACGGCGCCTAGCATCGGACGTTTTAACGCGATATGAAAGATACTAGTCCCATTTTTTATAAAGTATTAATTTTTTTAATGGATGGATTTTTAAAATTTACGAAATAAGATAAAATCTAGTGTAAAGATAAAATTCATAATCAAATTTCAAAACTTGTTTATTGAAGATTGAAATTGGAAATTGAAAATTGTTTTCTTTAAGTGGAAACATCTGCTACTTTTTACGATTTGTGATAGACAAAACTAGAAAATTAAAAGGAAAATCAAAGTATTTCTTCAGCGTATTATCAAGTGGAGAGATATTTTTAATGACTTTTTACTTTGATCATTGAACAAATGCTAGACACCTTTTAATAACTTCTATGTAATATCCTGCTGAACAACTTCCGGTAAGTAGATTTCTAAACATTAACATTCTAAACAATTTTATATTTTTCATATAAAATATGGAATAAATTTAATCTTTAATGGAAATCTAAAAAAATTAAAGTTTATTTTTACAAAATTATTATATGAAAATATTTTGAATAAAATTTCTGTAATAAATATTTAATAATTTTCTAAATATATTACAATGTCATAGTAGATTTCAATACCATTCACATATTATTTATTTAAATTCTCAGAAGTGAAAAAGAAATTGAAAGCTGAAAAAATATTCAGAAATTCTTATTTTACTCTGTTAGTATTTAAATTTTTGAGTTTATCCATTGTTTTTTTAAAGTATTTAATAATATTTTTTAGACATATTTAATTTCTTAACATTGAAATATATTTAAATATCAAATATTAATCAAATATTTAAATATATTCTATATTCAATAAAATTCAAAAAAATTAAAATAAATTAGATATTAAAATTGTTTTTAGTTATTATAAATTTTATATATAACATTTTATACATATTAAAATTCTTTGTAGTTAAATTTGTTGAATTCTAATTTTATATGTACTTCAAATTTTTAAAAAGATTTAAAAAAAGAAAATAAAAAATACAGAATCCTAATATACATATTGGCGTTTATTAAAGATAGTTTGTAGAAATTCGTGGAGTTTAATGTTCCTATCGTTGGTAGATAAATAATGTAAAACGATGGCTTTTCAAAGCGCCTGCTGAGGAACTGTTTTTATAAATAAACTTGAAATACGCTCATGATGTCTAATCGCAAAGAAGCATAAATAAAAAGTTTTAATTATATAGATACCAGATATTAACATCTTATTGTTTCACTTTAATTTAGCTGATTCGATAATCAGATTTTTGATTCGATTGATTTGATTTTTGATCTTCAAGAAAAAATATATAGACATATTTCATGAAATTTTGATTTTAATTTTCTTACTTATGTCAATAAGATAAAAAAAGTGTTGGAAAGCATGAAAAATATTTTATTTATTTTTTTGAAATGAAAGATAAGTCAATATATTCGTGGATATATCTTTAATCAGATAAATGATTGTATATTAAATCTATTTATTAATGTTTAAATCTACTAATAATGAATAAAAGAAAAAAATTTTTATTTATAATAATAATCACAAATTATTATATTTATCTTCTTTATTTATTCAATGATATATATTCAATGATTATGAAATATATTCAATGATTAAAAATATTTTTAGATGATATTTGAATTTCGAATTTGAATGATATAAATATAATCAGATTAATCATTAAAATAATATAAAATGAGTATTTCTATATATTGTTAAATAACTTATTAAAATAAAGACTATCTTTATAGATAAAAATAAATAAAAAAAAAAAGTATGTTTTAAGTCTGAATTTATATTAGATACTACTTTAGATTCTTTCATAAGTTTCAAAAGTTTAAAATTCTTCGATTATTTTTTTTTATAATTATATTTCATCCTCTTCTCAAATTTCTTAAAATTTATTAATTATATTTTTTCAATATCTCTGTTCTTTGTTAGAAAAAGAATTTTTCTTTGTAATATTATTTTCTTTATATTTTCTGTTTACAAATAAAATTGAGATATTTATTATAATTTTTATTGGTGACTAAAATGAGATAAAAAAGTAAATCAAAAATTTATTGTTCTTTATCATTAATTTACGTTTATTTCGAATGTCTCGTCGAGCTTCACAGTGAAACAGCCTCGTATATAATCAGACATATTATGTTGATTAAGAAAAACAAGTATAGTGAAAATTGTTTAATGTTTTTATATATGTTAATATATTTAAAAATTTTTTTTATATTTCATATATTTCATATTTTAAAAACTTTTTCATTGAATTATAATCATCTTGTTTAAAATATTATATTAAAAAAAAAAAGAAAATGCAATATAAATGTTAAGAAATTTTATAATTTTAGAAAATTTAATAATTCAGATATATAATTAATTTCTATTAATTTAATTTTACAATATTTTCTTAATTTATTTTTTAAAATAATTGTAACTTCTTCAATATTTTTTTAAGTATTCTACTTAAAGAAAAAAATTATATTTGGAAGATTATTTTCTAGCATATTCTGTATTAAAAATACTTCATTTATGAGCAAGATAATAATAGATTTTATTATTGCAAAATATATACATTTGTTCTACATATTTATTTCTACGTATATGTATATGTATATGTATATGTATATGTAGAACAGTCTAAAAATAAGCCAAAAGCTTTTCATATAGCTAAATTGAAACTTCGATCATTATTGCTGGAGAAGCATTCATGAGAATTTAATAAAATTATATGAATAATTTTTAAGAATTTAAAAATAAATTGATAGATAATTTTTAATATTTTAATTTTAATTTTTAACATTTTGTTTCCTTTTTTATAAGCAAAAAAAAAAAAAAAAAAAATATATATATATATATATATATATTGAAGTATTAATGAAGAGAGATGGAAGAAAAATATCATTAAACATTTTTTTTTTAAATTTTAATAATAAATATATCAATGAAATATATTAATTTTGAAATAGATATAATTTTTTAAAATATATTTGATTTTCTCTTTAAAATTTAAAATATTCATATAATTATTTTAATATATTAATCTTTTAATAATTTATAATCTTAATTTTTTTATCATCTTTTTTAAGAAATTGAAAAGAAATTACATTATAATTTTCATATCCAATTATTTCTCAATATGAGTTTAATAATTTGATAATTCTATTTTCATTTTTATAGTTTTACGTTAAAATTTTTGCATTCCAACAATTTCAATTATCAATATTTTTTATTATTTTTTACAATTACATCGTTTATAATATTTATATTGTAATTATTTCAATCAAATAATTCAGAAATTTCCACGATTATATGAAAATGTTGTATAAAAAAACTTACATAGAAACTATATTAATTTCTTCTCGTCATAGACTTTTTTTCTTCGAGTTACAAAGCTCATTTCAGTTTCTGCAAGGTATCATGCGACGTATGGCACGTGACTCATCATATTAAACGAGAAACGCCTTTGTTGACTTCTCTAGAGCATTAATTAAAGAGATGACACATCGCGAAGTAAACCAATTAATAGTGGCCGATGATATGACATTGGTCGCATTTTACTTTCGATCTTATTCTCTTTCCATATTTTTCTATGTATCGATTCCGTCAAACAAATTTGATATTTGATATCACCATATATATCATTTAAATATTCATTAAATGATATCTCTAATTTATCTGACGAGATTATATAGATTTTTTTTCTAATTTTTGATAACATTGATATTTTCTAATATTTTATTAATTTTATTAATTTTCTAATATTGATATTATATAATTAATTATTGGTATTTCTAAATATAAATCCCGCATATAATTATAAAATTTTGATAATTTTGAATTGTTTATAAAAAAAATTTATTGATAATTTCATTGATGATTAAATATTGAATTTTTAAGAATTTTATAACGTATTTTTATTATTTTTTAAAATTTTATTATCAAATTTTTTTTAATATGTTATATAATATATAATTTAATTTTATCATTTTATTTTTATGATATTTACATAAGAATAGATGATATATGAATAGATGATATTGAATTTCATTAAAAGTTAAGATTATTCAGTTATTCATTTTAAATATTTAACGATATTACTATTTGAATTACCTTTTTATCCTTGTTATTTATTTGTTATTTATAATTGCGATTATAATAATATTATCTAATTATTTATTGCCAGAATTTTTCTCTATATTTTAAAAATTAATCTTATAAAGGATTAATGCTCCGAAGTTATATCGTTACTGGCTAATAATCCCTTTAAAATCTCTTTCCATGACTTTAATTAATCTTGATTTAATTAATTAATCTCTCTCTCTCTCTCTCTCTCTCTATATATATATATATATATATATATATATATATAAACTTATTAAAATAAATTTTATTATAATTATTATAATTAATTAAATTAAATAAAAATTATTATAATTAAAGTTAGATATTTGTAAATTTGTAAAATTTGATATTTGTATTTCAGAATTTAAATTATTATTATTTGATGTTGTTCGATTCTAATCGAAATAAAATTTAAAAATAATTTAAATAAACATATAAATCAATTAAATATTATATTTAAAAATTGTTTCATTATAATCAATTATTTTAGATAATTATTGATAATGGATTTCTATTTTATTATTTTTTTTATCACACTAACTTATTACATAGTACAAGAAATAGAAATTGCTGATACTTTCTCTATTGTGTAACATGAAGTTTCAAAATACGATATAAAAAATTGCAAGTTAAAAGAATAATGAACTATTTTCATCTTATTGAAAAATGAATGTTAATGCAACACCGCTCACGATTTTATCGTTCAAAAGAAATATAATTATAATTGCAGCCAGATAAAGTTCAACTATCCTTCAAAGTCTAGAAATAAACGTGAACATGCAAAATAGATCACAAAATACTAACGTTGTTTTGAACAAGTATAATAAGCATCAGTTATGAATGATGAGTAGTCTTCAACAAGACTTGCTTGTAGTTCTGATTCTAATATCATTTTCTTCATATTATTTAGCATCTTTTTGATCTATGCTTTTTTTAATTAAATTACGAAAAATATCACATTTAATTATTCTTTTCTGAAATTCTATAAAAAGTTTTGTGCAAAAATTAAATATGTTAAATTTAATTATTAAAATAATTAATTAATTAAAATATGTTAAAATTAAATATGTGCCTAGTTGAAATATATAAAGTACAAAATAAAATTAAAATTTCTATATAAATTTTTTTTATTATCAATTTTTTTATTAAATTGATCGGATTTATCAATTTTTAATTTTATAACATAATTTTAAAAATTTAAATAATTCTTCTAATATAATTGTTAAAAAAAATAACAAAAATTTCGTTGCATGAACGTCAATTATAATGA